AATTTCAATCTAAGAAAGCTGACATAATATCCCACATTATGATTAAAGGTGTCCAAAACCTTTGCGATGTAGAAAAATTTTTGCTTTTTCGTAGAAAATAGAACAAGCACAAATTCTTCTTGTTCTGCTTGACAAGCTAAGGGTTGTTCTAAACGCTTCTCAGACAACATGTTTTCTTCGAATTCCATTTCGTCTTCTTCAAACCAATCATTGTCATTATTAGAATCTTGACACGATAATCTTTCATCATAGTCTTCTTCAGAATCACTTCGCAAAACTTGGCGCTTCACCTTTTTTTCTTTGGCTTCTTTTCCACTTTCAGTTGCTTCTCTGGCCGTTACTGTCTCATTTATGTCTGAAGTGTCGGTGGCTATGATCCTCTTTCCTAGCTTTCTTGGTTTTTTTCTGTTGGGTCTAGGTTTAGCTTTCAATGGTGTCCTGAATTGTTCTGGTGATACAAAATTACTGTTGCAATGGGATGGTCCAGCAACAGCATCATAGTGTGATACCATATTACCTGCGCCAATATTAGACTGGACTGGAATCAGGCTGGCTGGAATCGATCGATCTGTCACTATGCTGGGCAAAAAATCACCACTGGAGAATATGTCCCTGTCAAAAGGGCATATTTCAGTTTTCTGGAAGGCTTTAATTATGTTGGAACCAGTCATTTATTTTGTAAAAGCTATTTCAATCGATTCTCCAACATCGTGTATCGTAACTGGGCAACTAAGAATCCATAGCATTGTGGTAATAACTCTTGAACGGACCGAAAACTCCCACATCCAAGGGCTGTATTTTGCTGATGTATGAAGATGAAGGACAGTAACCCCGGATTGTTTGCCAAGTCAAGCGCCTCTACACTTAAGTGGGATTCGTGGTCGTCCATTATCAAAATACTACTGCTGTGCTTGATGAAATGCTCCATTATTTCAACAAACAGCTCACTGGTCATCCAACCCGAAGGTGTTGCCAGGATTAGAATTTCAGGTGGTCTCCCAAAAGTCATTCTGTTAACTTTTTTCGGGGGAAAATAATGGCACGTGGCAATGCTTCACCACCAGCACTAATAATGCAGCAAGTTGTGCATAATGTTCCTTTCTGACCGCTGGTGACTTTGCATAAGTTCTTGTGCCCTTTCAGCTCAATGACTCCCTAGGATTTCTGCACAGTGGTCGTTCCTGTTTCATATGAGTTGTATATCTGAGTTCCATCAGCAAAAGCTGGACTACGCTGGTCTACTTCTTCTAAATTGTCAAAAAATGTTTTGACAGTCTCTTCATTGAAACCCGTTGCCCTTGCGCGGCTGCAATACTCAGATCGGAATGCCGTTGGCGAAAACATCGGAACCAGTCAACCCCCGCCAAATTTTCCGGTTCCCAATTGGGTGGTATTTTGAGATTATCAATCTTTGCCAGATTTTTTGTAATAGACTTTCAATACTTCTTCTTGCTGGTCGGAAAACTGTTGAAAAATCGACCATCAACGGAACCGCTCAGCAGTGGAGGGAGTCAAAGAGGGATCACATTGGCTACCACGTGCATCTCGCGTAAGCGCCTACATACAGTAAATAAACCCATAACAGACTGATTCACTGTGTATCACTGATCCACTGTTGACCACCCTACCCTACATATTTCAGACACCAGCGACTTATCCAAGAAGGGGCTGATTTCCATCATAATAAATAGGCGGATTATTACATTATTACAAACAATATGTTGAAATTTTTTCCATTTCAAACACTGGAAACATTGTTAAAATATGGATATAACGGAAAATAAAGTTTTCATGCTGTTTCTTACCAGAATCTCAGGGTTAGTGAAACTTTTCAAAACGGCTATTTTGCACGATTTAAGATCTGAATCAAACCAAAAATTGATCAGATATGAGCACTTAGAAATTTAAATAACGAAAATTTCAAATATTTTTCTGTAACTTGAAGGCTGAAAGGGCTGAAATTTGGCGTGAGTATGTCTTACCCACAGAAAAATGAATTTTTTTGCCAGATATCGCGAATGTTTGCAAATAACAAGCATAATGTATCTTAAATTGACATCTTGGACGCATCCTAAGGAAATTTATATTGTTGAATTTCCTGTGTCAAGATGAGATCAGATAAGATAAGATAAAATAATATAAGATAAGATAAAATCTTTATTTTCCAGCAGACAACAGGACATTGTATAGGAATAGTAAATTCAAAACAAAATCTAAAACTCGAAGTGAAAGAGTCTTTCTCTTCTCTCTCTTTCTCTTGCCTTGGTGATGTCCTGCGATCTAAAAAATGGCTGATACATGCACCAAAGGGCCACAAGTTTGGATTCATAGGCTTTCTGACGTTTTTTTCTAGAATTCGCACTTTAAAGTATGAGTAGACATCAGGAAACTTAGGGGTCTTAGAATCACATACTACTTCTGGAAAGTTCTCCTTGAGTATTGCTGTGAGGGATGCAACCGTAGTTCCTTTGTCCACTCTGCACATATGAAGAGTGGCCTGTTTTGGTACTCCCTTAACAGCAACATATTCTTTGTTATTTCCTACCACCATTCTATTTCTATTCCTTCTACTTTCGGCCTGTTTCCAATCATATCTTGAAGGAGTAACTTGATCATTGGGTAAATTAACTGCGAAATTCTTATTTGAATCAATATACTCATTGAGCTTCAACGATGTTTCTTCACGAAAAAGAGCAGCTGATCCATGTTTTGGTTTTATTATTGGGGAATTCACCTGTTTAGCAATCACCTGAACCGAAACACTGTTTTGTGTCGTTTTATCGGGTTCCGGTTTTTCGTATTCGTTACTTTTTGTAGGAGCTGGTATCTGGTAGATAACGAAAGGGATTTAATTTGTTTCAGACTATTATTTTCACTAATGAGTTCAATATTCTAATTCAATATTCTTAAATGGATCTTCTCTGACAATTCATTATGATATATTTTTGTTTAACGATATAATTGAAAACCTGCATATCTATCACTGTATTATTACTCACATCATATGAGAAAATATCCCTCACGGCTGTAGTGCATCATTATGCAGAACGTCACAACATATTATTTGATTATTGTCAATAATGGTAACATTTTTCAAGTACTTCACACAACCTGTGTGTATTACGTTATCACTTTTCACACACTTTTTTCCAGTTGAAGCAACAGTTTTGCATCTTTTGCACACTTTTATGGAAGCTACGTCTTCATGCGTTTTTCCAGTTTCCGGCATGTTGAAGATCTATATCTCACGACCTTCAGAAAGGACCATCAATTTTTTTTCATTCTGTTTTAAAAAAAATCTGTTTTTCCAATAATCAGCTGTCGCCCCCATACGAACGACAACTCTCAGAAGTTGAGAAACTTGTGCGAGCTAAGGACTAACGAGGTCTTACCTTTTAACGTGTGATTCCTAACACGGTTGCAGAATCATTCCCGCTTCAACCAGATAAATTCACTCGAGAAAAATATCTGGTCGACGAGGAAATCGAACCCACGGTCTTGAGATCGTGAGTCGGGCGCACTACCACCGCGGCCAATTCCACAAAATGGTACTTGAAAAATTGTCATATTCAAAACGAATTTTTCGACACCAACATATTCTTATAGCTAACAAAAAAACACACTTGAGAAAAGAATGTCCTAGCCCAATCGGGAGCCAAATTATTATTTTTTTATTGAATTTTCACAAAAACTGGTGAAATACTTGAACTTTTTGAACGGTCAATATGCGCGTTTCAGTAACCAAGTTAGCATCATCAGTCCTAAACTAATCTCCTGATGATCCTAACTAGATCTTAGTCATCTCCTGATAATGCTAACAGACAAACTCGTTCAATGTCCTGTATATGTGTGTGTGTGTTTTTCCTTCAACCAATTGTCGCTTTCTTATGAACGACAACCCTCAGAAGTCATAACTTGTACGAGCTAAGGACCAACGAGTTCTTACATTTAAAGGTGTGGTTTCTAGCATGGATCAGACGATACCCAGTGAATATCGAAAATTGGAATCAAACCGACGTTCACCTAGCCGTTGATCAAATGAGTACCACTATTTACGCTAACCAACCGGCTATCTTCCAGTTAATGAGAGTGTTTGTGTTTAACTTTCGAATATAATTTCATCAATAAAATAACATATGAGCAATCAGCTTCTTTTCGAATTTAAAAAAATGAAAAGGAAACATATTCAATGTATCGATGTATAGGGTATTTCATTGTTTCCTATCTTTAAATTTGAATAAAACAAAGTGTGTGTGAGATATCAATGAAATCTTTTATTCGTTTTGATACTGCTCCAGAGCCCATTCAGTGACCACAAGTCATTGTGCATGGTCGTTAAACGTCAGTTCCTGGGTCAGTTGAAATTTGTACGGAAGCAGGCCCAGGTCACGACGCAAAATTCGCCTAGTTGTGGTCTGCGAAAGTCTCAGTTGGAAGACTCTATATTTAAAACTATATTGAATAGGTTTTCTTTACAATTTTTGAATGAAAGGAAATTGCAATTTTACTTTATTTCTATGAAAAAAAAAGAATGATAATGTTAAATGAGAATGTATAACAATATTCATGTAATCTTAATGGAAGAGAAATGATACATTTTCCGGTGTATTATTTTATTCATCTTTGAGGAATTATATAGTTCACTTGTTCTGATGAATTTTTAATACGTGCAGGAGAAATGATTGGGCAGATTCTAATATGTTTTGCTAATAAAATATTTTTCATAATCTCAAACCCTCTAACTAAAGAATATATCACCCATGAACGAAAAATCAAATTTTCACGCAGTTTGCCCTAAGCATTCACCAGTTGTTAAGCACTTTGTGACAAAGTTACAACACATCCTTGGCTAAAAGAAACTTTCGTTTTTCTATTTCCTTTGGTAAAGTTCAATTTTCCATTTTCAAATAATTTTTCACTTGGGTCTTCAAGAAACTGGCCTAAGTACAATAAGTCACAACAACGGATATCTCTCATTACATCCTATTGAATTTAGTACGTGAAAATGCAATGTCAGAAGTATATCTCGTCAGCTACAATCCGTGTCGAATTCCGAAATGAAGTTGAGGATTTTGTGCTGTGTTTTGTTGGTTCTCGCTCAGTTACACCACGGTGAGTGCAAGAGAGGTAGTTCAAGAGGGAGCAGAGGAAAGTCCTCTTCATCAGGTAAGAATCGCATTTCAATATAACATATAGGTGAAATTTTATTTATTATTACATGACAATGTGATTTTCATCGATGATGCATATCGGTAATTCTAACAACAGGCGCACTCAGTGTTGGACTTGATAATATCACCGGGTAGTCTTTTTTTTTGGAATGATGTAACGATACCTAGATCGTTGGCTACTTCATTTTCCAAATGTTCAACAGGGTTCATATCGGGGTACATAGGTGGCCAAATCCTGCCATTGTTATTCTAACATAATTTAGGCATTCACGTATCATTTCCAGGAGTTACAAAGAGTCAACAAGACAAAAAAGAATATAAGCAACCATGTTCGAAAGTCTGAATAACGAAAATAGAAACTAAAAAATGATTGCGAATTGTGGGTGTACCATGAATCACTTATACAAATTATTGATGTTCCATCTTTTACCATTCTGGTACGGCAACAGTTAATCAACAGTTTTGGCAAGCCTTGCCAAAAGGCTTAATTTTCTCAAGGAATTATTTTACTAGAACGTTATGATCCAATAATCCGTACACCACATCCAATTGGATGTCTTTCGTCTTTCTTAGCATCACCTTGTGTCAGGAACTTCTATACCCATCACGCGACTGCGGTAGACTAAGGTGTTGAAGACACTATCGTGGCATGCCATGATGAACTCCTCAGTTTCCGACTTCGGCCCACTCGACCTGAGGAAATCGAAAGTCAGGCGCTTTGATAAGCCAACGTCTTCAATGTACATAATTGAAGAAGACCCTATGCATTGGCTCATCCTTAGGTTGCCGCAGAAGTGAGGTAATCTCTGCGACTTTCATATGAGCCTTTTGCTGAACGGGTTCCAACTCGATGACAGAGTTGTGATCACCTCATTCAGTGTCGAAAACTAAACCGAGTTCATCAGCTGCTCGGGCAGCTGCCCTAAAGAGAAATGCTCCAATTCCTGTTCTCTCATGGTCACAGACCATGCAGAGAAGGGGATCCGAACTCCTGGCGACTTTACAGGCTCCAACTCCAATGTTATTGAAGAAAACCCCATGCATTGGCTTATCCTTGTGTTTCCACAGAAGTAAGGTGATCTCTGCGGCTTTTATCTGAGCTTTTTGCTGAACGGGTTCCAATTCGGTGACAGAATTGTGGTCACCTCCTTCAGTGTCGAAAACTATAACGAGTTCATCTCTATTATTATAAACTCGGTAAGTTTTTTTGCCGCTCAAAACTAATTCTAATATCTTAGGCTAACACCTTGATATCACAGCTGCAGAACCTTCTATAATATATAACGACATTTTCTTAAATGAAAACATTCCACTCATGATATGTTATAGAACATTTTGTATAACTAGGTTCCAGCTCGTATTGGGGTAGTAGCAACAACAAAAAGTCAGGATCGAAACAATCGTCAGGAACCCAAACTGTGCAGAATCCTAACCCGAAACCTGCACCATCTCAAGCAGTCAAACCGTCAACCACTCATCAAGAACAACCATTCAAAAAGCAAAATTCTGAGCCTCAGCAGTCTGCCAATCCTCAGCAAACTCCAATTGGTTGGAATGTTCCGGGAACTAATCAAAATTCTGGCTGGAAGACCGGTTATCAAAACCAAGGTTTGTAAGAATTTTCAGCGCGAAGTGAACCAACTGATTTATTTTTTCAACAGTGAAATAAAGAAAAAAGTTACTTCAGTCGTGATAGAAGACTTTAGGAATCATGATCTGTTTCTCTGCCTTAAACATCTCCATTATTGGTGGAAGAAGAATTTTTATTACTTTATGAATGTCATCTTCTTCTTTTGAGAGAAAAATTTTGCTTATTCAGATTATCAAAAATGTCTAAATTTCGATGAAAAACATTTATTCCCATATGAAATGAATTCACTTTGATTGATGAACCCTATATTTTACTGAATTTTGATTTTGAATAGGTGTTAATCAACAGAGTCACAGTTACGCCTCTGGTCATCAACCACAAGGAGCTTGGGCAAACCCAAACTCTCATGGAGGCTATCATCCCAACCAAAATGCTCCCAGTTACAATCAACATGGTTACCCCCAACAACACGAATATCCCCAACAACACGGATATCCCCAACAACATGGATATTCCCAACAAAATGGCTACCAAGGTTATTCAGGCTATCCCCCGCAGCACGGTTTCAATGGTTACAACTCTCCAAATTCCTGGGGATATCCCAACTCTCACAATGGACAGAGAGGAGGGTTCTTTGGAGGAGGAATGGGTGGGTACGGTGGAGGTATGGGAGGCTATGGAAGTGGTATGGGAGGCTATGGAGGTGGTATGGGGGGCTTTGGAGGAATGGGAGGGTATGGAGGCATGATGGGAGGTTAGTGATTTATATTAAATAACGAGATGAAAATAGTAGTGAACCATTAACATTTTCAATTCAAAGAAGTATATTTTTAGGTGTGATCAGTATTTGGAAAAAAAGCTGTTTGGCTTTCACTTTTCCATCTGCCACAATAAACTTTTTACAAAGATGTGTAGATCATGCATTGAAGTTATATACAAGTTTTATATGTAAAGACTTCATTGCGGAATTAACTGCTTTCTTCCTTCTTTTGGAAGTTTCCAATAATTTTGTGTATAAAGATAGGAAAGTGGAATCCAGAAAGTTATTTTCTCAATAAAATTTCATACCTAATGTTGGATATTATAAATTGAGTGAAAAAGTAATGAATAATTGAAGTGTACGGTACAATATACAGAGTTTTTCATGGAAAACTATTAGTATCAGTATTTATACAACCAACCGGGATATTATTAATTTCTCGAACGGTGTCGCATTTATTTCATCTATCACTGATCACTATTTTAAGAAAATGTATATTTCTTATTTTGTTTGCATTATATCAATTACTTTCGTACCATATGGAACCATTGATGGACAATGTTGCTAAGTTGGTAGCACAGGGTCTTTCACGACGAGCGTTCGTTAGAAATATATTGAAGATTCAAAATGAAAACTTGAAATTTTGTGGTAGTGGGTTTTACAAAATGGCCTTCTCAAC